GGGGAGGGGGGGAGTAGGCCGTGGAGGAGGGAGCGTGCAGTATGGAGACTACTGGATCTGGCAAAGTCCAGCTGAAAGAGAATCTACAGACCCTCTACTCCAACCTTGGCCCCATTTTACAGATGCGGAAACAAAGGCCCAGAGGAAGGGAATGCCACTCGCTCAGGGGCACAAGGGCAGAAAGTGGCCGACTTGGACTGGAACCCCACAGCCAGAGCTCCCCTCTCCTCTGCATCACTTGAACGCTGAATGGAGAGGCAGCTATGCGGGGACCAACGGGAAGCTGCCAGAGAAGTCGGTGGTGGGCAACCGTGGGTGAGATGGTGCCACTGAGGTTTCTGGTCTTTTCTAATCTCCGCTCCCTTTGCAGGGTTTCCTTTCCCGAAACTGAAGCCCCCTCCCCTCCTGAAACCAGCGGGAAACCGAGCTCTGCTCCCTTTGCCAGAACCTTGGTCTTGGGCGATTTGCAGGAATCCCGCGAAAGTGACCCATCTAGTCAGTGTCTGAGGCCGGCCAGGGACTCTCCAGCGCATCCCGTTCACCACCCACCACATCCGGGTGTGGTTGGCTACCTGCCAAGGCGGCTGGGCCCTTCGGGGACCTTGGCAGCGCGAAGCCTGCCCTCTGCGCCTTCCCTCTGGATCTCCTACCCTCATCCTCCACCCTGGGAGGAGGCAGACAGACAGACAGTTTCCCACTAGGGAGGAACAAGTTCTCCCCAGATGCCTGACCAGATAATGTGCCCTTTGCCCATTGCTGCCGTTTGTCCAGCTGGCAGGAGCAGAGGGGTTGGATGGAGAAGATGAAGGCAATTTATATCTGATAATATATAAGTTCCAGTTCCTGGGTGGCACCACTTTCTCACAATTGGGGATCTGGCCCTGGAGCGTCTCTCCTTTTCCTGCTGAAGTGGTCTAATTTGGCACTCACATGGATGTTTGTGCACTCATGTGCACGTCTCTTACATTTAACAGATATGATCGAGCTTTCTTTGTACCAAGCACCGTGCCAGGCTTGGGGATGTCGAGACACCCTCATTCCCCTAAAGGCACACAGTCTAGTTTGGGGGGCAAAGAGAGAAGACAGATAAAGAAACGTGTTATAAATAAGTATTTCCTGTGTGTAGTGGGTCCAGAGGTGAGCACCCAGGATTTGGTGGGTTTTGGAGAAAGTGCCCTGTGCAGCCTGGGGTGGGATGGGGATCAGGGAAGACTTCTGGGGAGAAGGGACACAGAAGGAGCCGGGTGAGTCATCTAATAGACAGATGTGTGCTGGAGTGGGGAGGCATTCAGGAGACTGGATTTCAGATGGGGGGAGGTCCGTAGAAGGAAAGGCACAAAGACCAGCAACAGCTGGGTGAGTAGGACACACACACACACTCGTTCTAGCCTGAGCCTTGGGAAAAGGAGAGGCCTGTGGATCTGTGAATGCCTGGGAGCCCCCAGGAGGGTTTTATGCTGGGGAATGTCTTATCAAATTTGACTTGTGGTAGCCCAGTCCAGCGGCCAGGCACCTCCCCTCTGGTCCCTGGGTACTTGTAAGGGCCACGGCCAAGTTGGTTCATTGCTGTGTCTGAGACTCTTCCTGGTGCATTGTAGGAGCTGAATGGACGGGTCTGAGGGGGCAAATCCGGATGCACAGTACCCACTACTTCCCTGCTCATGTTCTCCTACCTCTTCATCCTTGGGTGAGGCTTCTCTGATCTGCTCTTAAATGAGCTTCCAGAGAGGATGTGTCTGGGGGTAGGCATGGCTGCCTGGGGATAGGTTGGATGGAGAAGATGAAGGCAAATAAATGAGAGAGTATGGTCATTCTCTCATCGCTTTTAAACAAGCCCCCAAAATGCAAAGCGGCAACATAGGTGCCAGCCGTGTGTGTGTGTGTGTGTGTGTATGTGTGTGTGTGGTGGGTTACAGCAGACAGAAAAGAGAGCCAGGGAGGACACAAAGGAAAATAAGATAGAGCTTGTTTACGCAGAGAGTAAATAGATGTCTTTTTGAGTATATACTATGCTAGGTGCTGAGGGTACAAAACTGAACAACTGAGACCTTACTCAAATAACTATATTATAGCATGAAAGTTGGTCACTGCCAAAGACAGCCCCAAAACGCGGCCACCTGGAGGAAGGAGTGAGTGCTTCTCATTGTGGAGGGCAGAGAAGGCTTCTGGAAGAGGTGTCATTTGCCTGAGGCCCTGAAGGGTGCATCAGATGGACCAAGAGAGACCAAGGAGAGAATTTTGGTGGAGGGAACAGCTTGTACAAGAACATGAAGGTGGGAGAGGTTGGGGGGCCTGTGTGGGAACAGTGTGCAGTGCAGGTTTTTTTTTTTTTTTTTTCCCTCGCATTCTGGAGATGTGTAAGAGAAAGGGGCAGGAAAGTGCAGCCGGAATGCAAAAGGTCTCAAAGATTTCCTTCACTGGCAGGAGGAAGCACAGGACCAAGTGTCAGGAGACTAGGCTCTGGTCCCTCCTCTTAAGCTGAAAGCCTGGGAGTCATTGTTGCTTCTTCTTCTTCAACCACCTTATTCTAATCCAAAAGCAAACATGGTTCATTCTGCTTCCAACAGTAAGTCTGGTGACTGTTCCATTTCTACTGTTGGCACGCTATCCACATGCTCATAATTTCTACCTGATCCTTGCAATCCCCTCCTGGCCATGGAGCCAGTACACACTGAGGGGAGGGAGTAAAACGTTAATGGTCAAGCACTTGGGACTCTGGAGCTAGACTGCCAGGATTTGAATCCTTAAACCCCCCCTCCGCCACCCAGTAGCTGTGTGTCCTTGGGCAAGTCACTTAACCTCTCTGTGCTCAGGTTCCTCATCTGTAAAATGAAGGGAAGTGTAGCCCCTACTTCATGGGGTTGTGAGGATTCAATGAGAACAACATGAAGCACTTGGGAGAGTGCCTGGTGTATATACAGAACTGTTTAAGTGTTGGGCGCCTGGGTGGCTCAGTTGGTTAAGCGACTGCCTTCGGCTCAGGTCATGATCCTGGAGTCCCAGGATCGAGTCCCGCATCGGGCTCCCTGCTCAGCGGGGGGTCTGCTTCTCCCTCTGACCCTCCCCCCCTCTCATGTGCTCTCTCTCTCTCTCAAATAAATAAATAAAATCTTTAAAAAAAAAAAAAAAGAACTGTTTAAGTGTTAGTCATCGTTATAACTGTAATCTCTTCTCCCCACATCCAGTTTTGCTCTTCTCTGTCATGGTGCCAGGGGGATATATGAATCTTTAAAACCTTCATTTTGAAGTAATTTTGGATTTACCAAAGAGTGGCAAAGACAGAACCAAGTTTCCATGTGTCCTTCACCCAGCTTCTTGTGATGTCAATGTCTTCTATGTCCACAGTATATTTGTCGAAACTAGGAAATTAGCATTGGTATACTACTATGCATTGAACTACAGAATTTATTGGATTTCTCATTTTTCTACCGATCTCTGCTCTATGTGCAGGGATCCGATCCACAACATCACATTGCATTTAGCAGTGGGTTGTGTTCTATTGCAAATGAGCAGGTCCCTGTGCCCGAGAACACTTCCTTGGCCTGCCAGCCTGTGAGGCCTGTGTCCAGTCCTCCTCGAGGTCTGTGGGGCCTCGTCTTATCCAGTGCCAGGGCATAGAGTAGGAGCCACGGGCTTTCCTGAGGTTCTGTGAGGCCATCAAACTTGCATCCTTGGCTTTTGCCCATGCTGTTCCATCTGCACTGATGCTCTTTCTCTTCCTTTTGGCCAGCCACTTATTTTTGAGGGCTCAGTTTACCTGTGTCGCTTCCCCAGAGTGGCCCCTTCTGCCCTTTAGACCAGGCAAGTCCCCTCCTATATGCTCTCACAGCTACCTTGCATGCTGTAACCCTTCTGTAATTGCTTATAATACTTGATTCTTTCCTTCCCGGGCTCTCAGCCCCTCCAGGGCGGACCATGTGGTCTTGTCTGCTCTATCCCTAGCACCTCGAATGTGCCTGACACTTGGTGGGTACTCAGTGAAAATGTGTGGATTGACTAACTCACAATCCTGTGCCACTTTCTACAAATCACTTCTCCTCTCTGGGCTTCAGTCATCTCATCTCAGACGGAGGAGTTTAATCTGTTCAGCGGCTTTCCAATTGTGTTTCGAAAGCCCTAGCAATTTCCTGGGTTCTCCACTCCCTGCCTCATTAGGAGCCATGTTTAAGAGCACCTTGTTTTCATGCTCTTTCAATGTTCGGCTTTTGAGGAAGGTTCTTTTTAATGGATTCTGCTGCTTAAAAAGTTTGATCCCCTCCCCCGGCACATCATTGCCTTATATATTCTAT